TCCTTTCCTTTCCTTTTTTTTTTTTTTTTAAGTTTAATTTGGCTCTTGTGTAGACAGTACTTCAGTGCAATTGTTTCCTTTTTCTTTTTCCCCTCTTCTAATGAGGAGGACTGGGCAATACAGCCCAGATATGGGCTGTATGGATACATTCATGTAAGCAGTCATTTACTGCAATGACATTTACCATTCACTTTGACTGGGAGCATTTCCAACCATGAGGATTTATGCATTGAATACACAACTATTGCTATTGATATTTGCTCTCCAGACAATATATTTTTATAGCGTTGCAGTGTGGAAGTACCTAAACACCAAAGTCAAGTCTTTGGCTTATGGTGTTAGGTGCTATGCAAACTACTTTTAGAAAGGCTCCCACTATGGGTGTGCTGCAGTCTGAGGATGTTTTGATGAAATCCTGCAGCAGTGTTTTGCTCACTGTGTTGCCCTGACTGTGGGAGGCTGCTCATTGCCTCTGAGGTTTGGGAGTGTGCAGGGCTAGGGCTGCAGTTTGCATTGTAAGAGCAGAAACTTCACCCTGAGCATTACGCTGCCCAGCACAGAGTGAGTGAGTCTCCTAATGCAATAGCAGTGTAAATAAAACCTCGGTGCTATTTCATAAATCTGTTTTATTCTTCTTTGCATCATAGATTAATTGCTTAATCAGGAATGTGCACAAGACATCTGTAAATGCAGAAGGTATGCTTTCTCTGCATTACATGTATCTTACATGCCATACGCAGACTGCTAGGGTCTCCCTTCTACCTGCAGTTTTGTACCGGCTGCTGCTCTCCAGCCATACTCAAGCAAACAGATTATTTCAGAGGTGACATAAAGATATAACAGTCCATGCGGGCTCTGGGGCACGAGGCACAGGGCTCAGAGCTGTTGCAGAGCAGTGCTGAAGCAGGTGCAGGAGCAATCAGCCACAGAGTCTTCTTCATTTTAACAAAGATTCCCCTCTGACATAGCTGCAGTTGCAAGGATGAAGTTCAGGGCTCCTTAAAGACAAATATGTGCTTCTGCATTTGCAGTCTCCTGTCAGCTAGTCTTAGGGTGAATATTTCTTCCTTCCTACCACCTCTTCCAGTGGGTTTTACATCAGAGCCCCTAGGGGAGGGGAAAGGAGTAGAGGAAGGGAGGAGAGAGCCTGAAATCTCTGCACTTCCCTAAGCTCCTGCCCTGCCTGTCCTGAAGGAAATGGATCTGCCCAACTCCTTGGGTCAGAAGCAGTCCCTCCTCACTTTGCCTTTGATGTCCTATTAAGGTTCACAGCAAGCTCTAGCAAGGGCTTAAATGTTGGTCCCTTTCTAAAAGGAAGGCAAGTGCTGTGGATGGCTTAAGATACACCAAGGCCTCTGACTGGCAGTTCTCGTGCATCTTTTTCTGGGCAAGGGGTATAATTAAGATGCCCTTTTGGTTACAGAAAGGCGAGTCAGCTCCTTGGGGGGTTGTGGTGTCCTGGCTGGCTTCCCTGGCCTGCCACCCAGAGGAGCAGTTGCAGAAGGGGAAGGAGAGAGATGAGGCGAGATCATTTGGAGCACTGAGGTGCTTGCTTTCAGGGCTAAGCAATGCTGTGTAGGGAAGTGGGAATGAGAGATGGGGAAAGAAGAGAAAAAGGAGAAAAGGAAAAACAAAAACAAAAAAGAAAGAGAAAGAAAAAGAAGGAAAAAAAGAAAGAAAAAGAAAAAAACTTCCATTAATATCTGGGGCTACAATCCTGGGAACTGAGCTATTGTTTACCTCCTTCCATAGTCAGCCTGCTTTCTGAACTGGCTACCCTGACGAGCAGCTCAGACCAGATGAGTCCCATTGTTAGTGTCCATCTCTAATTATATCTAAGGAATTAACATTGCATTGCATTTTTCTACTGCTTCCATGACCAGGGACAGTGCATGAATGCTGTACAACAGGCCTACAGACACTACCTTCAGTGAGAAGTCCAGTGCCTTCTCCTGCCTGAGCTCCCTGTGTACAGTCTCACCTGCAAGCATCTTCCCTCCTGTTTCACCTGGCATGGTCAGGCTGCAAGGTGCCTCCCAGTTCAGCTTCCCTATTTCTCCTCTCCATCTTCTGACCCCTGATCCTTGCCCTCCCTGCTCACCAAGCCCCTTCTCTCCAGCACCTACCACCAGTCCCATGCTACAGCCACAAGGAGCAAAGGGGTACCACGATGAGGGACATGAGCTTTGTCATCAGCACCTCTTGTCTGTGGTTGAAATGTCGGTACTTGTACAAGAAGCAGAATAGAACCAGAAGAGCCAGCATATTGGTTTCCAGTCCTGCACCCTAGAAGAAGGAGCTGGGTCTGAATCCCTGGCCCAGCAGAATAAACCTTTTTTTCACAGGAAGAATCCTAAAGTGCTGTGACAGCCCCAGTTGCACACGGACACAAATGATTATTTTCTCTCGACAGACCTGCACAGCTCCCTCTGTGTATTTAACTGCGGTCATAGTGAGCTGGATCAGGAAAGGGACACTTGATATCTGCTGTTTCCGTGCTTGAAATATTTGTGAAGTTAGCGCATAATCTGAAAGCAGAAGCTAATAAATTATAGGGTGCTAATTGGGGCCGGAGTGGAGCTGTCAATCATATTATCCTAAACACACAGAGACCCTCATAACCTAAAAAGGCAAGAGAGGCTCCAGGAACAGCTCCCAGTTGTCACTAGCCATGACCTCCACTTCAGTGAGAGCACAGGGAGCCAAGGCAGAGTTTGTTCTGCTAA